TCAGTGTCTGTGTTTGCTCTGTGCACATCAGAGTGAGACAGTGATGCTCCTGTCTGCTTTCGGTCCTCTGCCTTTTCACCCTGCTGGCTTCATCATCTCCCTTTGCTCTCGCTCTCGTAGCAGGGTAATTCTGCTAAAAGCTAGAGAGCTTACTGGAACTGCAGCCAGAACAAAGCAGGCAGGAACAAAGGAGATGGAAACCGTAACTTACCAAAGGATGTGGGTTCTCTGATGGACAGATTCACAAGGAACAATACCTTTAAAGAGTGTGGGTTATATGTAGGAAAATATAGAACTCGAAATAACTTTATAAACAAGGGTTCCAGAGGAAGGATTGGAGGGAAGGTCTTGTGATTGGCTTCCACGTGTGCATTGGGATGCTGGAGGAGAGCATCAGTAAAGTTTGAAGAGCTCTGTGTTTTCCTCTTTTTGATTTAGGGAGCTCTTTGTTTTGTAAAATAGAAACAAACAGAGAAAAGAAAACAACAAATCAAACCGAAAACCACAGACCAGAAAAAATCCCCACAAAATGTAAAAGCTTTTGAGAGCTTGTGCCTGCCTAAGAAGTGGAGTTTAGCAGGGTGTAGGCTTGGCTCTTTTCATTCATTCTGCTTCTGGGCATGGTTAGCCAGGTAGGGCTGGTGATGTTTCCAGTCCAAATGTGAAAAAAACCAAAACCCACTGCCCACACTTAATCATTGTAATTAAGGTTATATTGGTAGAGACAACTCAGTGGAGATTCTGATTTAATCTCCAAAAGCTGGTTTCGATCAGGTTCTGAGCAACTGCAAGAGCTGGCATGAAAATGATAATTTTTAAGTCACTGTCAGCAAGTCTCTGTCATTTTAGACTGTCAGTATCTGTTGTTGGGATCTGTGGGTGACAGTGACACACACGTGTGAGTCAGAAGCACTCCCGAACTATCACAATATGCTCAGGGAAGGAAAACAAACATCGGTGGAGTTGTGGGCTGCTGATAACCTTTTCTTAGACAAAGTTATAAGCTTTTGAGTGTTGCAGGCTGTTAGGATGTTTTCTGTTGCCCTTGATGCCACAAGGGAACCCCATAATACAATAACTCCTCAGAAAAACTATAAGTTACTTAGTTTGGTTTGTGGGGAGTTGGGATGCTTGAGGGTCTCTGGCTTATGCCAGCTTTGTTTCTGGTTGCAGTCCATCAGCCCTCTTTGGGGTTTCCAGATCTGTCTGGGAGGGATCCTGTTTTGTGTCTTAAGTGGGTTTATGCACATGAGCATCCTCTAAGTAGGTGCCATTCAGCACTTGGCTGCCTTCCTCCCCCTACTCCCTCTGCTCAGTGATGCTTCAAGGCAGGCAAACTTCTGCCAAGTCCTGGATGATTGTGCCGCCAGTGGAGTAGTTAGTAGAGATTAAATATGGCCATTATCTTTAGGTAATAAAGTACCAACTAACTTGCCATAACTATGCTGTTTAATGTCTATTAAAAGCCCCACATACTTCATTCACTGGGTGAAGTTTAATAGAAGTTCATTTAAGCATTTATTGCTTATTTAATTTAAAAATAAGTTGATCTCCACGACTGGAGTGACAGGTACTAAGGATTTAATTAACATTTAGTAAACTGTCCTGTTAGCTCTGAATTGCACAGTCAGGTCTTGTTTATGCATCAGTTTCTAATTCACCCCCGATTCCCCTCTTTTTTTTTGGACACTTGATCTTATTGTGGGGAGCTGCAGTTGTCTCTTTCTCCCCCTGCTCCTGATCACTCCTCAACAGGAGAGCCTGTGCATTGCCTTGTAGCTGGGGGCTGGAATGCTGCTGAGGAGCCAGGATCCAACTGCTTTATTGAAGGACCAGCTCAGACAGCTGGGCAAAGGCAGGTGGGGTGGAGGAGGCTGGAGCCCAATGGGGTGAGTAGTGTTGCACTGCGTGGTGGGGTGGATGTAGTCCAGCTCCAAACCTTCCTTAAACAGAGCAAATTTAAGATATCTCCTGTAGGCTTTTTCAGCGACGTGGCTGGCTGCATGGAACTCAGGTTGGTGAGGTTTGCGTTTTTGAAAGAGAAATGTTGGGGTGTTGTTAGAGGTGACCTGCAGGCAGTTCTGCTGCAGTTGCTGTGTTCATTGTACCCTAGCTGAGGTGGTTCCTGTCTCAGTAATGTGCACATTCATCTGCAATGTGCTGTATGCACTTACCCTAAAGAGTTCTCTGTTTCAGTAGTTTATTACCTCACTTTAACAGATTTGAATTACTCTACTTAGTGAGGCAAGCTTGAATGAAAGCAAGGAGTCTCCCAGACAGTGCAGGCAGCAGCGGCTGGGTTGTGAGAGTGATTGAATTAGCAGCTGATAAGTGGTTGTAGCTCCAGCTGCTGCATCATCATTGCCTTACTCCTCAGTGATGTTCCTGTTGCAGCTCAGCTCTGAAGGACATCAGCTGACTTGGATTTAACACACCTCATTGTTTGAGGTAGAGACTTGATTTGACTTGCATGGGATTAGGCAAATCTTGAGAGATACCTCAAGCTATTACTGTGGCCAAGACAAGCCTTTAATCTAGATTTCCTTAGAAAAATGGGTAGTGGTTGTGGCAGCCACGTGGCAGACCTGTAGTTAATTGCATGCACGGAACTGTGTTAAAAGAGTGGTGTTAAAGTTGTGAAGTCCAAGTGCTCCGGAGCTATGAAATGCCAGAATGAAGGTGGTTGATGAAACCTTAATTTCAGCCTCACCTGCAAGCAGATATTATGATATAGACAATTAATTGCCAAAGCACCTACTCTTTGTGTCCAGAGTGGAAGGTGATAATGAGCAGCTATTCAGTTGCTTTTCTTTTTGTGCAGTGTGTGGCCCCAAGCCTTATTTACTGCATACTATTCAAACTTGGGATAGAATGCAGAATTATTAATTTCCTTTGTATTTTTCTTGAGTGCATTTTGATCTTTCATTGGAGAACTTTGCAAGTTGGGGGAGTGATTTTTGTAGTGCCTTTCCAAGGTGAAGGAAAATTATTACTAATTTACTGATGGGACACAGAGACTTGGAGAGAAGTGAAACTAGTTGTCTCATATCACCCCTAAAGCTGCAATCATGGAGAGAAAAAAAAAATAGATCAGAATTGTTCTCCTACGTTTGCAGTCATAACTGATAATAAAGCAGAGAGATCATTGGAAAGAATTGTTTATAATTACAGACTGAAGTTAGCATCCTTACAACTCAACTCTGGAGATTAGTCTGAACTGTTCTTTGCAGTGATGCCTATCTTTGCAGTCCATCTCCTCCGTCTTTTCCACTTGTACCTACCTCTTATGTGTTATCATCATTATCCTTGACCGGGGGGCAAGATCTGTACTTATCTTGCATGTGTATTGAAATGCCTTGATTAGTGTGAAAACTGGTCTTAGCCTTTGGCATTTGGAGGCTAGAGCAGCTTAATGCTGTTGAAGCTGAAATGTGGTGGTGAGCAGGTCCAGAAATGAGCCACGAAAATGGTTAAGGTTCAGGTGGTATTTATGTATAAAAACATATTTCAAGGAGTAGAAGTAACGGGGACTTCACATCATCTGCTCTGCACTTCCTCGGTGGCTTATTTTCCCAGGTACAGTATGACTGACATTTTTTAGGGTAGTTTAAGCTTCTCTTAAAGCTGTGGTGCTTCTCTATCACTTCTGATCCTGCAGGCTGTTTTTTGGGCAAATGAGAATTATGCCTTCCCTAGAACAGTTCCACTTCAGTGCTTTTTCAGAGAATCCATTTCTTTTTCGAGTTCTTTGGGATGCACAGAGCTGAGCTTGGAAAACACAGCATTGCATCTTTGCCATTTAAGGAGGTCTTGGTGAACCTTCTGCATAGTAAGTTTGAAATTCAAGTGTATGAGTAATCCAGCTGAACTCTGCAGCTACTTGGGTGCCTGAAGATAAGCAAGTCTTTTAGCACTGTCCTGTACCCAAATCCTAATTTGCTCTCAAGGCAGACAGAGGGGGAACAACTGAAGAGCAGAAGGGTTGAAGTTACTTAAGGAGATGTCTGACTTATTTTCTGTTGGAATGACCGTAGCCTTGCTGCAATGAAGAGTCAGCCTCATACAGTGTAGGAGGTCATACTGTGAGTGGTGCAGACATTTGCAAACTTTGAACAGTGGCATTAAGCGATGAACTCTGGGGTAGAAGCATATTTTAGAAGTTAGGAATGATGCCTTCGACCTCTGCGTTGCTACAGGAATGATTGTGGGGTACTTGAAATGTAATGCCTCTTTAAGTGTCTCCCTCTGCATCCGAGGTTTGGCATTGAGGCCAGAGCAGGAGGTGAACTTAAAACAATATAACTGAGCATGCCTTTCTAAGGCACTCTGCCCACCCAGGTACTCGAAGTGTTTGGGTAAAAGGATGGCAACTCACAGAATGCCTGCACGCCTCCTTCCATGCCTTGGCACAGTGTGTTTTGCTCTGTTGTGTGGGAGAGCTGTGAACTTGGGGTGTGTGGAGGCTGGGGAAGTTAGTTTAGGAAAAGAAATTTTTGAGGACTATATCGTAGCATGCAAGAAGCTCGTTGCTTTACTACATGCAAGGATCCCTGTAGGGGGTGTTCATTTGCAAGTCACTCTGGATGAAGTTGGTCCCCATGCCCTCACTGCACACACAACCTACAGGCAGTGTGTTGTGGGCACTGTTTCTGCAGGTAGGTATCAAATGTCTCTGAGCACGCAGGGCAGATAGATTGGCATCGCCTCAGCTTTGCACTGCCGGGTAGTTGGCTTGCTGTGCTCTACCCTGGGATGGGATAGAGAGGATACATGCTCTGGTGTGTTACAATGATCATCTATGCTAGTAGCCCTCGGCCTCTTTCTGGGCTGTTGTATGGGTATCCACACCACACTGCTTCCCTGGATGCCATAGCCCAAGCCTCCAATCTGTGTTCATCTGCACACCTGAGGTGGTGTTTTAGTTCTTGGGTCATGCTTTCATGTGCAAGAAGTCCAAGCAAAAGTGATCTAGTCCAGCTTTGTTAGCTTCAGGGCAGCTGTCTGTCTGTGTCGGCTGTTCCCCATCCCTTGAAGGTTGAGTGCAGTGAGGCACAGGCAACAGCTCTGGATAAATTTCTTATATCTCAAGTGATTTGATCCATACCTGATTAAAGGTGTGCCCACTTCCGTGGGTACAGCTGGAGGTACAAAGGTAGCTGTGTATATTATTAGAAAGTCACACATTGGCTCATCTGGTTTAGTTTCAACTCTCTTGGTAGATGCACCTGCTAGAGTGGGAATATTTTTTTTGGTGTGTTTTGGTTGTGCAAAATCTACCTGATATGTAATGAAAGTGATTCCAGATGCTCTTGATCTCCAGAAAGGCAAGGCCTATCTGTCTAATGAAAGACATGAGTAATTCTGGGTGTGGTGTTGGTATACTCCTGGGTTCCTTTCGTCCTTCATTTTACTTCCATATCCCATAGCCAACATTTTCTTGTGTTGTCCATATCTCTAAATTTTACTATCTTGGACTGAGCCTGTCACTTGTTTTGCTACCCAGAGGAGAGTAATGAGTCTGGCAACCTGTGTGCGTCAAAGTCCTGTGAACCCAAGCAGAGAGCACAGGCTGCACCCATGGAGTGACATCTGGCTCTGAGGAGGTCCTGCCCTGGGAGATGAAGATAAAATGGAGAATGGTAAGAGAAAAGCAGAAAGATTGACTTGGGGACATAGTGACTGATGATGAGGGAAGATGACAAGGATGTAAAAAGTGTTCGTTAGTAGAACGTGACTAAGATGAAGATCTGATAAGTATTGAAATGTGTCTCTGGAGGAAAGGGGAGCAGTAGCTTCTGTCAGAGCAAAGCTGTATATTTAGGACTTGCAACTTGGTGCAAAGCAATTCTGGGTCATGGGAACACACAGCTCCTGTGGTCCTGTCACTGCAAGCCATTGCCACCTATAATACCTTTAATAAACATGCACAGTTCGATCTGAAACCTACTTGGGCTCTTCCCCATCCTTCATCTCCCTCATGGCTGTTTATCACTGTGGTTTCTGAACTGTGCATATACTCACTGTCTCATTCCTGAGCCTGCACTAACAGGAGGCCTCTGTGTGAGGGAGGGACACCCAAGTGAAACGTGAAACTCGATGCAAAGTCCCTTGCCACGAGGAATTTGGGTGGCTGATCTGCTGCAGCTTGGTGTTTGGGAGCGTGCTGGAGATTCGTGGGCTGTGTGATCTGCAGCCCTGGTGGGACGCCAGAGAGTGGGATGGAGTCTTGAGGGAAGGTGGGTTTCTCCTGCAAAGGGCAACCCCCACGTGGGGGTTCCTGGTGGAACTGCACTTGCCCAGCTTGTTAGCAAAAATCAGTTGTGCATTTGGATGAGGTGAAGCAGAGGAGGGGAGCAGTATGACTCACTTTAAATAGCAGTGACCAGAAGCAGGCTATAAGCTATAGGTGACACCTCATGCCTCCATCCTAAAACAGTAAAATCTGTCAGGGGAGATACAGCCATACGTGCAAATACAGTATGTGGGTTTGGGTCTTGGTCCGTTATTCACATGCATAAATAGGTCAGCCCCTTCCTTACTCTAGCATTTGTGTGTGCTTCACAAATACGAACCAGCTAATCTCAGCAGATGTTTGTCAGCCTCTTGAGCCCATAAGGAAGTTAAGTATCATTGCAGTTTGCTAGAGATGCCCAGGATTCCAATAACACCTGCTGAAAGAGCCCCTTGGAGCTGTATGTATTGGTGGCTGTGTGGGCTCAGCTCTGCAGGACAGCTGCTGCCACTGCCTCAGGCTGCTCTGCAAGGGCCAGTCTGGTCTTCCATTGACATCAAGACACAACTTCCTTTAGTTTTTGAGGGGGAATGGGATTTTACGATATGTTTACACACTCAAACTTTATTAAAATCTAGTTGAAAGGAAGAAGCTGTGGATTTTTCTTGCTGCCTACCTTTGTTCATGTGCTGATGCGCCCACCTTCTTGGTGGTTATGTGAGAAGTCACGATGCTCTTGGTTGGCCTGCATCCTTTACTTGCCTCCCTCTCTTTCCCCAAGTGTGAACACTTAGTTGCAAGCTCTAACACCTCGGAGGTCAAGCAAGTGATGTGGATGTGTGTTGCTGAAGTGGCTGTTTATTCTGTAGTTGTCTCTGGAGTCTCCAGTTTGTGATTTGAGAAGTTCTCAAGAAGGACTGAGGATCACACTTGTTTCTTCTGGCCTCTATTTTGTGCTCTGGCTGTGTGACTGTCCTGATTTTTCAGACAGAGTTGTAATTATAAGGCTGCTAAATGGAGTAGTGGGGGCAGCAGTAGGATAGTTCTGGATTACTAATAAATCAAGAACTTTCCTTAGTTATTTCCTCACTCAGTTTCCATGAAGCTCTGTATACCAAGGTGTGCTTCTGTCTTCTCAATTAAAACTTCCTGAAGTCTCCTCAGGTCACAGATCCTACCAGTTTTTGCCATTCAGCATCTCAAGGACAAACCTTGGATATCTCCTGTGATGACAGAGGCTTTGGACTGCTCCTCCTGTCCCTCATCACTGTGAACCTGTGGCTGTCACTTCACTGCACCAAGTGTGTGCATCTGACTCGCCCTGTGCTGCCGGCTGCAGCTGCCTGGCCTTTTTGTCTGCATTAGTTTAATTGACTGAGGAGCTTGCACGGGAAGCTGTCCATCCCTGTGGTAACTGTGCTTGATGATCAGAAGTTATTCTAGGGATGAAGGACTGGTACAGATTTGTTTTCCTTGGTTGTGGATCTGCAGCCCTTAATTGTTCATATGAACTGATGTTAACTTGGTTTACCACTAATTAAAAACCAAAAGAGTATCTAGTCCTCTCCAAAATAATTACCGTCTTTGGTGAAAGGGAGGAAGCTCTGCTGGCTTCCTGTTTGTTTCCAAACACCTTCATTTTGCCAAGTTACTTTGCACTGGCCATGGTGCATGGAAGGGGCCTGGTAAGGGCCAGCAGCTCTCTCCTGGTGCACAGGGAGTTTGTGCTTGAATCCTTTGTCCACTGTTGGACCAAAGGGTAAGTATAGGAAAAGAATGAGGTGATAAAAAATCTTATGAACCTAATAATTGCATTTGGGGTGGGAGGATGTGTTTTCTCAGTGGAAAGCCATTAAAGGTGACAGAGGTGCATACACCCTGTGTGCTGGAGCATGTTTTTATCTTGATGTTTTATGGGTTAAAAACCAGCAAGAACAGAAAAAGGTTTTGACTGTGTGTGTGCTCACTACCAGGAATTCCAGTTCCTAGATAGTTTGGTTTCTATCAGTAATTGGTTTCAGATGCACATTAACTTTGATTCACATGTTGCTTTGGGGAAGGTGTCCTCTCTCCTTTCTGTTTGCTCAGTCTCTGCCTCTGTCACATTTTTGCCATGACTGGGACTGGGTCTGCAGCAGAAGGAGGGCAGGGGGTCTTCTCCCTTCATCTGGTCCTGAGTGCCCATGCAAGTGTTTGTGTTCCTTATGCTCCCTCAGTGCAAATGGGCAGGGTTGTCCAATGTCACTGCTGGGTTGAGGGCTGAAAGGTGTCCAGTCCAAAGTGCTTGGGCTCACTGGAAGCAGGGCCTGGGGCTCTGTGACTGCTGTTTGCTCTGTGGGTGCAAAGACAGAAGCAATTCTCTGGATTTGATATTTATTCCCACTGTTACCTTGTGGTGGGGCTTAGGCCTCCGAGTGTCAACTGGGTAGGAGGAATTGCTGTTTGGGCAGCAGTCACTGGATAAACATCCTTCCTCTCAAAGGAATGGTACAGGGATGGGCAGGAATATCCCAGGTTCAGAGGCTGGGGCAGAATCAGCTTCACTCATAATGCTCCATAGATGGATGTGCCTGACCTGCTGTGGAGGTTGGTGATGGCAGCTGTGCCCACTCATCTGCAATCCCTCCTTTTGCTTTCCTACCTTGGAAGGTGAGTCTTGTTCACACAGGGAGTGTTCCTAAGGTTTCTGTGCTCTGCTGTGGGATGTGCAAGGAGCAGCAGTGGGACTGTATTTTCTTAATCTGCATGTTTGATGAGGCAGTATCTGGCTATGCCCCTAGCAATGGGTTTTTTAATGCAGATCAAGTCTCCTGTTTTAATTGACTAAGAAAAGAGAACTTGAAGAGGGTATGAACCCACGACCTTGAGATAAATAGTTTCTTATTGAGTTCCTGAGCCCCTAAGCCACCTCCTCTTGTGAGAGTAGCATGGTTTAATCGAAGGTCAGAGGTTTTGTCACCTCTGAGAGCCTCAGAAAAAGAGGGCGACATAAGCGAGTTCTCCCTAGTCCTCCGTGACTGCAGTCATTTTTGGCCTGTCAAGTTCCCATTGAGCTTGCTGTGCGTGTCCCCAGTTCCTAGATGATGGCTCTCTTGACCTTCTCTGGTCTCTGTGAATGCTGATAAAGACCTGGTGATCAAGTCAGCTGTGTTCCTGGGGGTTGTAACTAGATATATGGTGGCTATGGGCGAATGGCTTATGCAAGGCTGCTTTGAGCCTCTGTGTGCAACGTGCAGATTCACAGCCTTGATAGGACATAGTCTTCTCTTACCAGCTCTTCCCACGCAGCCTCCCACGGGTGTCTCCTGTTTCTAGGCTGAAGGCCAACTGTGGTATCTCACGCACTGCTGCGTGGTCAGTCTTGGCATGTGCTGACTTGTGCTTGGCCACTGATGCCTAAGATGTTGCAGTTGCTCAAAGAGGTCCCCCTCCATTTTATTCTGCATTTCCTTCTTGAGTGGTGACCGGGCATATGGCTGTACCCCATTTGAGAGGTGCGGTATTAGTCTGTATTCCTGACTGCTGTCACTTAACGCTCCTTAAGCCTGGCTGATGGCTGGCATGGAGCTGGTCTTGCTAGCACGTTGGATGCTGACTTCCTTGATGCTGTGCCAAGTCAGTCTTTTGAAAATATTGTCTGGCAAGTCCTGGAGAGATCTTTGTCTCTAAAAGCTTCTGCAGTTCCCTTCTGTTTTTCCCCATCACCAAGTGAAAAATAAAAACACTTGGCTCAATAACAAGTGCTGGCTTCAGGGCTGGTGACAAAATTCCTGCTGACAAACTTAGTATCGTAGGGTAGGAGTAGGTGAGGACAGGTATGATGGTGGTGTTATGCTGTTAGGTGCTCCTGTGAATCACACCAGCGAGACAGAAGAAGGTTGGAGAGACCTTTCTTGGTCTCCAGTGGTTTGTACCTTTGGTGTGATGTTGCGCTCACACACAGTAGCTAATGTTTCAACAAATAGATATGTGCTCTTCTGGAATACGGTGCTCTGAAGTAGCAGGTTGGAGGATATCATGTGGCAAACTCTTGAAAGAATACAGAGAATTGGTAGCCAAGAAAACTTTGTGCTGTGAAACTGTCAGGTACGTGGTAAGAAGCATGATCTCTTCCTGTGAGCACCAGTGAGATCCAGTAAGGGTGCTGACTGATGTGTAATTGTGAACTTTGCCATTCTGCAAACCAGAAACCTCTTTTTTTTTTTTTTTTTCACTGATAAACAGGAAAAGTGAACCAAATCATACAGGTCCAGGGGTTCAATTTTACAGTCGTTGTTGGTGCTGTAGGCAAATAATAAAGGAAATGCATTACAAGTCCAGTGTGTATACTTCTCAGTCAACAAGGTACAATGGCATAGGGGGACTAAAGCCTTTTCATCCTTTATTTTTAAGAAGAGGAAAGATGTG